GAGGGGGACAGAGGAGAGAATTTAATGTTTTGAAGAGATTACATGTGTCTGGTGCACTGTTGATCTTGTTGTGGAAGTATGAAGATTTGGCATTATGTACTTCAGCAGAGAAAGATGAAAGCAAAGACTGATACATACTCCGGTATGACGAATCTTTGGATTTGCGCCATTTTCTCTCTGCTGCCCTGAGTTTGGTCCGATGCTCACAAAGAACATCGGATAACCAGGGGTTAGGAGGGGCAGCCCGTGCTGGCCTGGAGGAGAGAGGACAAATATCATCTAGACAAGAGGTTAAAGTAGAGCATAAAGTGTCAGTTGCTGCATTCACATCCAGAGATGAGAAATGGGTAGGTGAGGGAAGAGAGGAGGATACAACAGAGGAAAGATGGGAGGGGGAAAGGGAGCGTAGGTTTCATCTAAAAGTAACCGGTATAGGGGTTGGGGGCACACAGGTAGTAAAATGTAGTTTAAATGTAATGAAGAAATGGTCAGAGATATGTAGGGGTTCTACCAAAATGTTGTCTGCAATACAATTGCGTGTGTAAATTAAGCCAAGTTGGTTGCCTGATTTGTGCGTGCTTGTAGTGGTAAGGCGTTTGAGATCAAATGAAGCAAGGAGTGAATGGAAGTCTAGCATAAGGCTTGTCCAGATGAATGTTGAAGTCGCCAAAGACTAAAAGTGAACTGACATCCTTCGGGAATGAGGACAGCAGCCCATCCATCTCCTCTAGGAAGGTGGCGGTAAATTACCACAACCTGGAGTTTTATAGGAGCTGTTACAGTAATCGCATGAGATTCAAATGAGTTATAATTGCATAGGGGAGAGTGGGTTGAGTATTAATAAATATATTAATTTTTTTATTTATTTAGTTTTTATTTAACATTCTAATCTTGTCTGTTAACAGTTAAGCAATTATCTAGCGTCTGATATCTGTCAGGAAAATTAACCGAAATGCACAGCCCTAATACTACTATTATTATTATTATCATCTCATCATCATCATCATGGCTGCTGCTTATATTTCCAAATACCCAATACCTGCAGTACTCCAAATTTGATGCAAGGAAAAGTGCGTATGTCTGCGCAGAACCTGATGTGGCTCTAAGCACTTTTCCACTCTGAGATCAAATTTGTCCGTATACATGCTTTATAAATGACGCCTAGGGAAACTCCCTGGATGGATGGTCAGTGCATCACAAGGCTCACAGATTTTAAAAAGTAATTTTTATTGAAATTTCATATAGCATGAAGTGAAAATGTTTACTTCAGCACAATCAATGGCACAGTTTAACTCCATGTGGCTCAACATACCCTTTCCCTAGGCTCAACTTATAACCCTCAATAGGGGCAAGTTGAGCCAAGAGACCACTTTTTTTTTGGAAACCCATATTTTGAAAGCAGATTATTTTAGATCCAAAGTGATTATTCCCAAGGATGCACCACATCCTGAAATATATGTACATATTTAAGTTGGACCCGTTATTGTCATGTGCTCGCTTAAAATACACTGTAAGTAAAAACTGACTCAACTCACCCCGCTCTCCCCTATTTGTCCATTCAAGCTCCGAGAGAAGTGTAGCGTCTGCGTAGAATCATGCATGATCTTTGGGTGTTTATGGCTTAAGAGACCCCTTTTAGCCTTTTGACATTTGCATATAAATTACAGTTCTGGTCAGAGACTTTACGTTTGTATAGGGGTTTTAAATTGCCAAATGGTTCCTCGCCGTCAAGGAGATTCTGACCAGCCCCCACTATCATCACCCCCATCTGACTTCAAACACGGTCCCAAAGAGCTGTAAATGACCCTGATGGGCCTGGCTGGCCAAGTAAACTAACACACACACACACACACACACACAAATACACACACACATAAAGACCGTTACTCTATTATACTCTACAAATATATCTGGTATATTGCATGTGTTGTTTGTACGTTTCCCTATTAGATTAGCTGAGTTACCACTCGTTATTTGTATTAGTTAAAGCCATAAAACACTGAAATTCAGGTGTATTCTCCCGCTCAAAATTCATGCCTCTGATTGCCAAGTCCAAACGGATAGGAAATCTTAAAAGCGATTAGCCCCGAATAAACTTTGCTCAGAAACTCTTCTTCGTTTGAGACAACACCTTTCTAAGACCCTCAAGATCTTCCTCTTGAGTTTTATTTTCCGGCAGTTTTTATCTTCAAGTAACGTTAGTCACTGTGGACTTTTCCTTCTTCAGAAGAACCAGAAGTAAAAACTTCCAGCTGACTCCTCACGAACTCATCAAAAGACCTCCGTTATCTACCGCATCCGGACTCTTCTTCAGCAATCGAAACCAATGCAAGTAACCGCTTAAAATTATTTAGATGCGTGTTTAAGTTTCAGTCACTTTTTAAGGTGATTTTTGGATTCTCTGATGATTTTCAAAGGTTGTGGTTAAGTGATGTGAAATACTGCCATTCTTTTCTATTCTCTCTCTTTTCCTTACTTTGTTTCATTCTGTGTGTATATGTTTTAGTTAGTTATATGTTAGATATAGTTTCATTGATTAAATCCCTTATATTCACAACGGATTGTCTCTGTTTGCTGCTCACAATTCGAAGTCAATGAATGTGTGAACCCTTGCTACATTTTGCTAAATTACTACTAGCACTGCACAAAGAAGGAGAGTTTATTCTTCCGTGGCCAGGAAAATAATAGTTCCTTGAATTAATAAATGATTATATTGTCTGCTCGGTGGACGGACAGATCAAATAATTGTAATATTGATTCTGCTACAGTTAATTCGAAGATATAATCTAAATATTTATTATGAATCATAACCAGTTATAATTCGTCATAAATATTCCCCTTTTTAGAGCTAATAAATAATAAAAACCCTTACAGAAGCGAGTGAACACGCTTCGGGTCCGAGCATTGTTAGACTCGACGCGGCTCTCAGTGACACACAGCTTTGAAAAAACATGTGTACACCTCTCTTCCAGATGTGAGATCTGTAAATAGTGTGCAGCTGAATAGTTTCAGATTTCCGCCTTGTAAACGCCCCCTAATTAATATTATTAGCATATAATAGAGCACCAGTCAATGCCTAAATCCTTTACTTGAGAATGAGGAGCGGCAGAATTGCTTAGATTTGCAAATACTTGCAGTGCTCTGATTCTGCCACAAGGAGAAGTGTGTACGTCTGCTCAGACCCTGATGTGCTGCTAAGCACTTTTACACATCAAAGGTGTTTTTATAAATCTGAACTCTGGTGTGGATTTAGCAGATGCACACTCGGAGATCAAATCTGTGCGTACGCATGTTTTATAAATGAGGCCCCAGTACTCTGTATTACACACCCATACTGAACTCAACTATGTGACGAAACAAAGAATAGGAACAGGAAATACAATTCATCCAACAATAAAAAGAGAGAATGAAAATATTTTATTTTTTAAAATATAGTATTAAATAGCTGAAATTGACAATCAGGATAACAACCATGCAATTATTTATCTTATGCTTTATCCATACAGAGTTTGACATTACATTCATTAGTTTTTCTCCTGGAGTAACCTGAGCTTCAGTGTGTTCATGGATCACGCTTCGCAGGGTTCAGTCTGTCTCTCTCACGCATGCAAACAATAACCCTTGTGTTTATTACTATTACTTATTGAGATGTTTTTCAATTATTTTAACAATGTATTAACAAAGGCATTTCATTGTCGAATCTTTAACTTCTTAAGAACGAGTCAGATGTGACCACAGTAACCCAAATAGATTTTGACTAATTCCACACAGAAATAGTTCATGAAAAGTGAAAGTGCAGAAACTCTATAAATACTCGACAGACCGAGAGACGGGAAGTACAGAGATGATGATGATGTCACCAGTGCAGCAGCTGCAGCGTCGTCATGGTAACAGCCAATAGGAGCAGCTGCAGACAGACAGGTGACCAGACTCTGGATCCAGCAGCTGCAGACACACACAGATGTTGAGATGTTGAGACGTGAGCTCTGTATCAGCAGATGAACAGTTACAGAAGAGCAGTGGACTGACAGAAATCAAGTGAATTCACAGCTGATTTCAACACCTACAGGACTGGTCTCAGTCTCTTTTTCTCTAGCAGTGGTTTTATTTGTTCAAACCTATTATATATTAAAGACTTGAAAACTTTAAAATTAAAATAAAAGCAGAACATATCAAATAAAATCTAATTCAAAATATTCACAAAAATGGTAATAGTATAGTAAAAATAACACTGCTTTATAATAGAAATGGATTTAAACTGAATTTGAAGGCTGAACTGTTCTCAGGACAAAAGTATTTTGCAAAAAAGTTGTGTTTTAAATGTTTATACAACGTATTAGAATATTAGTGGTTCTGTATTTCTGTCATTTTGTTTTTGCTGTTTTCTGCTCTGTGATTGTGTTCCTGTTAGTATTTTGCTGAAAGCTCTGTTTAATGCTTGCTATTGCTAGTGTGTGTTGAGGAACAGCATCACGTATGAAGATTTTTTTTTTTGCAGGCCAGACTTTAGTGGTTTGTTCATTTTCTATAGAGAGATTGATTTCACTGGAGTCAGAATTGTGACAACTAGCCCCGGTCTCTCCTCTCCTGATCTCTCAGAAGCGCCGTGTGTCTCTGGTACCTGTGGTGGCGGCGGTGCCGGTCTGGGCTGACGGTGCTTTAGTGCTGCTGCTAGCTGTAGCGGTGGTGCTGACGGTGCTTTCTGTGACGCTGGAGTTCCTGCCCCCCGTCAGACCGATCTGCAGCGTGTCCAGATCCACCTGCAGCTGAAGCCTGATCCACTCCTGTATCTGTGCTGTGCTTTCATACGTCTTCAGATCAGCCACATTCACACCCAGCAGATTCTTCACCTCAGACACGATCAGCACCTGCACACACACACACACACACACACAGCAGCAGCATCAGGATTGCAAATGAGGCCGAGCAGACAATGAGCTGAAGAGAAAAACCCACACAGCCACGAACACCACTGAAACAGATTGAGTTCTGTTCTCCTTGTGCATGTGTAAATGTACAATTGAGCAGCACTATTTATCTGTTTTAATTGTGCCTTTAATTCAATTTCTTATCAGCGTTTCATCATCAGACATGAATGACTGACAGGAGACTCACGTTGATGACGCTCTGCTTCAGATTCATGAATGTGAGCACGTCCATATTCACAGTGGAGTTCACAAGAGTACGAATGAACGTCACATCAGCACCGCCTGCAGACACACACACACACACACACACACACACACACACACACAGAAGATCAGCCTGACAGCAGCAGTGTGATGTATGTATGTGTGTGAGCGTGAATCAGTGTGTGTGTGTTGTTACCGAGGTAGTTCTGCAGCAGCTGGTATGTTGTGATGCTGACGGGGTTTGTACTGCGTGTGTTTGTTGTGTTGAACGCATTCTGAGCGATACTGAACAGAATCGACTTCTTCTCTGAGCTGCAGCTGGTCAGAGAGAGAGCAGAAGCTCGCCTGCAAACACACGTTTAGTTACTAAATCTTAAAAAACACACAAACTCATCTAAATGGAGACATTGCACTGACTTCTACTGTTCCCATATAGAGCTAGTTATACTGTAAATATTATAACCTAACTCTGACAGAAAACCTGCATTTTTTAAAACTAAAACGTTATTTACTTTTTGAGAGGTTTTGTCCAATTTAATTCAATTATGGGTACAAATTAGTCCCCACAATATGGTTAAATAAGCACAAACACACACTCAAACTATGGAAGAAAAATAAAGACAAATGTCTTTGAAACAAAAAAGCATGTTGAGGTGCATTAACTGAAAGAGTAATGCATTGCATTTACAGTGCTTGCATTTGAAGACCTTTTAATGCCTATTTTAAGGATTTGCATTTTTATGGACTGAAATCCAACATGGCTGTATATTTAAGCTGTGAATATTTGAATTCAAAACATTTCAAACGCATTTTCATCATCATCAATAATCCATATTCACCTTCCAGAGTTCACGAACAAAATATTCAATCAGTTTAAAAATACGATGTATAATATTCAACAGGCAATTTTCGGTCCATGATTGTAAAGCGCTTTGGGTGTACAGCAATACACAATAAAGCATATATAAAAACATCATTCATTCATTCATTTTATTTCACTTTACAAATTCCCTTCCACGAATTCAGTGGCTCAAATTCAGCATTGCACATCCGGGAGCTGCAGGAATAGCTGTAGAGTAGCAATGCATGATCTCCAGCTGCTGTCAGTGGCTCTCCTGCAGGTGGCACAAGCGTGTTGAAGAAGACCAAAGCAACAGGTAGAGCAAGTCATTCATTCACAAAAACTGATTTGCAGCAGTTGAGCAAGTAGAACTTATTATCAGGGCCGGTATGTAAATGTGGAAAAGCTGATTGTGTTTACGTTTAATTCATGTAGCCACATGTAAGCAGCTTTCTCTACCGCAAATGAGATTATAATGCTATTTTACCCAACGCTAATGTACAGACCTAACATTATATCTGAGGAAGACATATAGTCCAGGTGATATGTGCAAAATTTGAGGTGACATGTTCACTTTTCCATAAAAGCATGAAACTTGGTACAATTGTACAGGTTAGGGCCTTGAACATTTTGTGTGTGTGTGTGTGAGAGAGAGAGAAAGAGAGAGAGAGTGTGTGTGTGAGAGTGAGTGTGTGTGTGTGTGTGTGTGAGTGAGTGAGTGAGTGAGTGAGTGTGTGAGTGAGTGAGTGAGAGTGTGTGTGAGTGAGTGAGTGAGTGTGTGTGTGTGAGTGAGTGAGTTTAAATGATCTTTGCCAGCGTTCAGGACTGCAGCTCTCTTCGCAGGAACCTGACGGAGCGCTAGCGGCTCTTAATGAGAACATAATAACAGACCCGCATATCTCTACTCTAGCGGTACTCAATACAGAAACTACACCTCGTCAACTATCGACCAATAATGTAAGAGTCTCACTTCTTCACCTCAGAAAAACCCAAAATGCCCAGCACTGGATGGGCTTGAAACTACAGGGAAAATTAGCACTTCTCCAATCGGCTGACCACTCAGTATCCCACTCTGTTCTGACAAACTTTTCAATCTCAGAGGATGTTCTAATTTTTATGATTAAAGCTCGACTACAATGTCTCCCAACTATATACAATCTGTCAATATGGTACCCGTCAAATTACAACTCCTACTGTCTGTTACATCAAAATCAACAGGAAAATGAAACGGTTGCCCACATCTTAAATGGATGTTGTTGCTACAAAGAACTGTATGTGTCCAGACACGATCGCCTGGTTGATCTGATTGTAAAGGACTTGAAAACAATACATAAAGACAGTAAGTTTAACCAGCATACTACTGTTGAATTGAACTGGTTTTATGACAACACATCTGTCAGTGACTATTTCAAAAACATTCCAAACACTGCAGACATTGTGATTGTAAACGAGGCTCTGAACTCTGTATTTGTCATTGAGGTTGGTTGTTGTTTTGATCTGTATTTGAATATCTGCTATCTTTCCAATCTGCTGAAATATCAGCCATTGCTTGAAGCCATCCATCAACTTGACTATCACTGTAAGTTAATCACCCTAGTGTTTGGAAGTTTAGGTCATTTGCATAAGAATGTGATTAAAGGTCTGCAGTTGGGGGGACTGCAAAAAAAGAAAGCAAAAAGACTTAAGCAAAAATTCTGTTCAGTTTCAGCCACTATAGGGAGCATGCAAATATGGAAACAAAGATGTTTTGTGTATCCTTGAGTGTTAAATGTTATAATTATAAAGACTTGTGAATGTATGTGAGCCATGTGTACCTGTCATCTTGCAAAATGACTTCTCATGGTATTTGGATTCCATTTTTTTTGCTTGTCTTTTGGATCCAAATAAAATAATGAAATGTGTGTGTGTGTGTATGTGTGAGTGAGTGTGAGTGTGTGTGTGTGTGTGTGTGTACTCACTCCACGCTGGCGGCTGTGATGTTGTTCAGCACACTGGTGTTCAGCACACACAGGTTCGTTCCTCCCAGAGCGTTCAGCTCGTTGCTGCCGAGAGTGTTTCCATTCACACTCAGATACTTACTGACCAGCAGCTGGACCTGAGAGAGACACACACATCAGCTCACTGAAGAACCAGACACACTTCATGACACTCGGCTCTGCTGAAGCCCAAAGTATGCTTTAGTTTTTATTTGTACACTAGCGTATGTACAGTGTGTGTGATGGGAATTACATTATGAGTACTGTACACACACACACACACACACAGTACCATCTCCGGGTCCCAGTCTCCCTTGCGTTGGTTCATCAGAGACGAGAGCGTGTCGATCTTCATCACGTTCCACTTTCTGACATCATCGGGTGTGGCCACGTGGGAGGCGGAGCCTAAAACCTGCAGCACCTGGTCAGACAGTCCGCCCGGATACGCCTGAGGGGCGGGACACACATGCGTCTCTATAGCAACACTGCGATTGACAGCAGGTACAGCAGTGTTCAGGTGAGTGTTTTACCTGGTTGAGTTTGTCCAGAATGATCCGCTGGTAGCTCCTGTCGTAAACTCTATCGGTCACGGCCTCCAGGTTGTCCTTCAGTGTTTGGACGCTCAGGCAGGCGTTAAACTGCGGCACGTCATACGCAAACGGAAACATGTCGCTGTACACCTGAGCCTGCAGGATCTGTCCCACAGTACATGCTGTTTCTACAGGAGACCAGAGAAAACACACAAACACAGCTTCAAAAATATTATACATGCTACTTTAATAATGCAGTGTGATTATACTAATGCTGTGGTCACGGCAAAGTTTATAATCAACAATCATTTACTGACACTTTCACTTACAATGTAGAAGTACAGACCTAGAATCTGATCTAAACTTACACAGCCCTCAGAGAACAGATGCGGAGTTTCTGCTGCCTTGCTTTTTACTGTTTATATTTTATGCATTAAATTGATCAAAAGTGTCAATAAAAACATTGTTACAAAATATTTCTATTTCAATTAAATGGTGTTCTTTTGAACTTTTTGTTCATCTGTGAATCCTGAAAAATAAAATGCATCACAGTTTCCACAAAAATATTGTGCAGCACAACTGTTTTCAACATTGATAATAATCAGAAATGTTTGTTGAGCAGCAGATCAGCATATTATACTGATTTCTGAAGATCATGTGACACTGAAGACTGGAGGAATGATGCTGAAAATACAGCTGCGCATCACAGAAATAAATGAACAGATATCCACATAGAAAACAGCTGTTTGTTATTCTAATAATATTTCACAATATTACTGTATTTCTGATCAGTTAAATGCAGTCTTGGTGAGCAGAAGAGGCTCTTTCAGAAACACTGGAATCAGTGTAGATTCTGTGGTGTTTCTGCAGTGATTCTCACCAGCGGATCTCTTGATTTTGACTCGTGAGATTTTGTTGACCTCATTCATCATGTTGAGGATCTTCTTCTCTGAGGCTTTATCATTCTTCCTCAGGTCACGGATGAAGGTCTTCAGAAACCTCTGCTTGTTTGCCTGACACACACACACACACACACACACAGTTATCAGTGAAACACACACACACAGCTCCGTGTTCCCGTCGCTGGAGCGGCTCCTGCGGTCGCACCTGTGTGAATTTGCTCCAGATGTTGGCGGTGAGGTACAGCGGCAGGAGGGCCAGGCTCTCCAGCGTGGCTCTGTCCCAGCTGTCTGAGGGTCTGAGAGGAAGGTCTGCTGTCAGGCTGAGCTCATTTAACGCACAGGAGATCAGTGTGACACGCGCGTGTGTGTGTGTGTGTGTGTGTGTGTACCCGGAGCTGGTGTTTCCTCCCAGCAGGATGCTCTCCAGCGCAGAGATCTGCTCAGCTGATAGATCCACACACGGCTTGAGCTTCTCCAGCACATACGGGTCCGAGCTCTGGATGTACTCGCTGCTCAGAAAACAGCTCATGCTGCCCAAAACATCCAGCTGAACCCGACTGATGCTGACGCCTGAGATGCCCTGAAACACAGACCACAGCAACATCTGTCAAACTCCACCAGACCAACGCTTCCATCATCCTGAAAACATTCTCATCTATTCTCATCTAGCTTTCTAGACAAACACACCCAAATATATTTAGACCTAAATAATTGCATATAAACTTTCAAGAGTTTCAACAAAAACAAACGATTAAACTTTGTCATGCATATTTGTCAGTCATACCAGTGTTTTAGTATCATTGATACTTTTTTTATATTTTCTGTTTACATTTTAATTTTAGTTCATGTTTTAATAATTGTGTTGTGTTGTCATTCTAATTAGCTTATTATATATATTTAAAGTTATTTTAGTACTTCAAGGTAAACTAAAAGAAAATGACAAGTGATGTCATGGCAACTAGCCGAAATAACTTTATTATATATGTATGTAATAAGTAATTCAATTGTTTAGTAACAGTTTTAATGGGTTTAGTTACAATTTTAGTTTGAGCCAAAGATAAACCTAAGTGGTACATAAATAAAACAGGTCGGATTTCTGTCATAGTACTAATAAACTGTGATCAAATAATATTGACTAAATATATTGTAGAAACGTAATTTTCTGTAAAGCTGCTTTGTAATGATTTGTATCGTGAAAAGCGCTATACAAATAAACTTGAATTGAATAAAATGTGTTTTAGATACACAATAACCAGGTTTATATATTTATCATCAATAAATCCAATTAGTTTCAATCTCATACAAGGTCCCATTAGTTAACATTTGTTAATGTATTAACTAACCATGAGCAATACATTTGTTACAGTACTTATTCACCTTTGTTAATGTTAGCTAATAAAAACGCAGCTGTTCATTGTTAGTTCATGCATGCACAGGTCCAATAAACACCACTTCTGATTTTAATAAAAGTTTAAAAGTTACTAAAAATTAAAATTAACTTTAAATAAGATTAATACATGCCTCATGTAGTTAACCTCATTATAAAATGTTACCATTTTAACTTTGTTTTACAATGAATAGATGTATGATGATTCTAAGCAATTGAATTAATGTATTCTGAAAATGATTGCATAATCAGATAGATGCAAACAGTTATTAATGAACTACGGCATGATGCTTTGAGTGCAGGAATCTGACCTGCTTCATTGATGAGCGACTCACAGTATTTCATTATTTTATGGTAAAACCTGCAGGATCCAAATGCACGGGAATTGTATATGCATTTTAAATACCTAAATGTTACATTTAGGCCCAAATCCTTTTTTGAGCACATAACTGATTATAAGAACTCAAATGTAAGAGTGTTTTCATTACAAGACAGCCCCTGGCGTGGTTGAAGAGCATCTGCTTCTTGAAGGACAGTGTGCTGGACAGAACAGAGAAGTCGGCCGCTCCCAGAGACGAGAAATACGAGCGGCACAGAGATCTGTCGATCATCGAGTAGCTGAAACACAGACAGACACACACGTGACTCGCTCGTCTTCATGTCACTGCGACTGACAGCGTGAGCTGAACTGAGTGTGTGTGTGTGTGTGTGTGTGTTTTCAGACGCACTTGTAATAGATGAGCACTTCAGCGGGATACTGGGAGAAGGCAGAGAGATCGGCGCTCTTGATGTAGTGATGCATGCAGGTCAGCTGAAGGAGAAGCACACATCAACACACTCATGAACACACTCACGCTCGTCTGACTGATGCAAACCTCATCTCTTCAAATGTGAATAAAACATCAAACCCACAATTAAGATGTAAATCGTCCTATTAAATCTACTGTATTATCTCTGATCCAAGAATGTCTAAATGATCAACATGTTTTTGCTGTTAAAGGAACACTCCACTATTTTTGAAAATAGGCTCATTTTCCAGCTCTCCTAGAGTTAAACAGTTGAGTTTTGCCGTTTTTGAATCCATTCAGCCGATCTCCGGGTCTGGCGGTAGCGCTTTTAGCTTAGCTTAGCATAGATCATTGAATCTGATTAGACCGTTAGCATCTCGCTCAAAAATGACCAAAGAGTTTCTATATTTTTCCTATTTAAAGCTTGACTCTTCTGTAGTTCCATCGTGTACTTTTGCATAATTTCTTTAAACGAGTTAAAGCCACTTCCTGAATGACATCACCCTCCAGGAAATGGCTTGGTTTTGGAGGGAAACAGCAGCACAGACATCAGCATTATTAACAGATCTGATGGATTCTGTGATGTTTTATTGATGTTGAATTTGAAAATACCAACATTTGAAAATGATACCAAATTTTTTATTTGATTTCTTTGGGTTTGATGTCGACCAGAGCTGATTTGTGGAAGTCTATTATTTTATAAAGGTTTCATGAGGTTCTGCAGAACATGAAGGAGCATCATAACATAAATGACACAAAAGCCTGTGACTGATGTGCTTGTTCACCTGTGACTCCTGCAGGACGAGCGTCTGATTGACTCGTCGTCTGCAGCCGCGGATCAGACTCAGAACTTTACTAGTGCTGAAGCTCTGGATTCGTGAACAGGTGAAGCCCTGCAGCACCTGGAAGGACATGCTACACACACACACGTGTTAACATGGTCAAAACTTAATCATCTAATCTGACTAATAACTCTCTTCACTCACTCATCTGGATTGCTGAACTGTGCAGTGACGGTTTCAAAGATCAGAACAGCCTGAGAGGAAGAGAAATTCAACCATTTAACATATGCACTACAACACACTTGCTAACACATGCAACATGACCTTAATAACTTTATGTGCAATAAATATACATTTCAATATTTTAATGTGCAGTACATCTCAATATACAGTACATGTCATTAATCAAGGGAATGAATTTGTAAACTGTATATATATACACATATATATATATATATATATATACATACATACAATGTGTATGTATATATATATATATATATATATATATATAATAGCATGTTTTATTGCAGATGCCTGACGCACCTGCTCGTGTTTCCATTTCTTCCGGTTGACCACCTGCGCAGCCGCGGATGACTGCGGCACATCCAGCAGGAAGATGCGTGGGATTTCCGTCGCCATGAGGTCAGGAACGTTTGTGATGATGGCGTCAGACGAGCTGTTGACAGCGATGATCTGAAGAGAGACAGAGAGAGACGTCACGAGACATGCTGAGCCGAACCGGAGCCGTGTGAATGTGAGCGAGAGTCACCTGGCTGACGATGGTCTGCTGGATGATCACAGGTGCGCCGATGACACTGGTCACGAACAGTTCAGATTTCACTGCCTCAAGGAAGATTTCTCCTGAGATTACTCTGAAGATTGATGATTGAACACCGATGATCAGCGAACCCAAATCCAGCAGACTGGCCACACTATTAATCTGCCACAGACACAAACGTGTGTTAGTACATCTAACATTATACAACAGATAGTTTCCATACGGGAATTTAACTGGCAGAGCTGTCTGTGAGCGAGTCAATGAATCACTGGTTTGTTCAACAACACTGATTCACTTAGGAATGAAGCAAGTGACTGTCTTTATGAGTGAGCCAATGAATCTTTGATTCAACAATACGTTCAACAACACTGATTCATTTCAGGAACGTAAAAAATCTTTATGACTGAATGAATATTTGATTCAGCCCATTTGTTCAACAACATTCATTCAATGAAGGAATGAAACGCCACTCAGAGACATGTAAGGTGTTGCTTCGTTTGGCTTTGAATCGGTATTGGTGGTGTGTACCTGGTAAACTCCGGATGACAGCAGGGTTTGGATGATCATCATGGCCTGATCAAGGTTCCAGCCCAGTACGAGTCTGAGCATGGAGAGCGAGTTGAGCAGCACATTCCCTCCGGCGTCACTGATCTGAGCTGTGCTCAAACCCGTGGACGACTGACCCAGAGCCTCGATGGTGTCCACCGTCAGAACCTCCGCATTACTTGCCAGAGCCGCCGACACCTGCACGCACAAACACACACACGTCTAGCTTATACAGAGCTTACTTCTGCTGACGTAAACACACACACACACACACACACACACACACACTCTAGTACGTACATCGGGGAGAACATCTGTGCAGTTCTGATGGATGCCGGATGAGATGATCTTCAGCTGCTCCAGACTCAGCTGAAGGAAGGAGCTCGCAGGAGCCAAGCAGCGGAACTTCAGAGGAAGACTATGAACACAAGCAAACATTAACCAGCCTTGATCTATTGTTTAGATGGTCCAACAGACGAGTGGCCAAAACCATCAAACCAGCATTTTCAGGGGGGATTTTTCAAATTATAGTATTGCAAATAAGTGTATTGTGTGAGATTTGAACTAGCCTTCATTTGCTGAAAGCGGCTCATGCTGGATTTAAATGACTTTGACTTTTCATGTACACTATTAAAACTTAAGGTTCTTTATTGGCATTGTCGGTTCCATGAAGAACCTTTAACATCCATGGAATCCTTCCATCGCACAAAAGATTCTTTATAATGGAAAAAAGGTTCTTAAAATATTCTTCACACTAAGTAAAGAGTCCTGTTAAGAACTGTTCACTAAACAAAAAAGGTTCTTCTAAATGGCATCACTGTGAGAACCTGCTTTTGGAAGCTTTATTTTTAAGAGTGTAGTTCAGTAAGATGTTATTAAGATTGGTTATTGAGAGTGTTGCTGGTGTCTCTCACTAGTAGGCGCTGAAGGACGGATTAATCTCGAACAGCAGAGTCACGTAATACTCCATCACGTCATCAGGAACGCTGGTCTGAGCGAAGAGCTGCAGGTTATCCAGGTTCACGAGGAACGGCTGAAAAACAAAGACGTTTTTGAGTTTGGAACGACATGAGGGTGAAGATGAACCATTCCCTTAAGAGCGAATGGATACAGACGACAGAAAAAAGATCTGAGCTCTTCAAGACGTAGCTTGACACACCTGAATGGAGCCAAACTGGAGGAGGTCGTCCAGTGTGATGAAGCTCAAGAAGACGGAGATGTAGTCTGTGAACCAGGTGGTGGAGTTGAGATCCGGGTTGGAGGTGTAATAGCATTTAGGAGTTGAACCTGAAGCTGAGAACACAAAGACAAACACGGATCACCATCAGACAAATCCTCATTGTTAGTAGACATCAGAATCAGTCACACAGTAGAAGTAACTCACAGGTGTTGAGGTAGACCAGGATGGAACTGTAGATGTCGCTCGGAGAAAACTCGGCTGCACTGTAGTTGTATTTAGCCATCGCTGAAACACTAAACAGAGAAACGCACAGAATCCATCATCATTAGATGTCTTTAGAGGAAAACTAATTGGTCCAATATGATTCTAGCGTCATTTTGAACAAAATCAGGCCAAAATGAAGTTTATTTGGAGTTTGTTTCTGACTTTGAAACGTTTTAGCCCTAAGCAAAGAACTAAGTCTTTATGCTACTGAAACACATAGTTAAGGTACAGTCACATTAACCATTGCTCTGCGAAATCAATCCATTCATTCTATTAGGAGTCTGTGTGACAGGGAGTTTCATGCTGGTCGCTCACAATTACCAACAGAAAGCTGCTTGGGTTGAGAGGGACTTCTGTGTGAGCTGTGCTTCATACTGTACATCGCTACCCTACTAAGAATAGACAATGGACCTTTTTTGTCGGCAAAGTCTCTCCAGAATTTCTCTACTGTGACCGCACTTTAGGCCTATTTGTTAGATTCTCCCCAACACAACGTTTGTGTGAAACGTGCTACTCACAACTTCTTGAAGGAGAGACAGGAGGCGTTTAGCATGACATCTGGAGCGATGAACTGTGAGGTGAGGAGAGGCAGGTACTGAACCAGTCGAAGATCAAACCACTGATTCACTTCAGACTGGACGTCCACCTTCAGAACCCGAGGCCAGATGCAGGACAACACCTGCCGGGCCAAACCCACAGGCAACAGCGGCTCCTGCGGCACACACAGAGAGACGCTTCATCATTTAGTGCAACCGCGTCCCAACGAGGACAATTCAGAAGCTGCTAAACAAGCAGCTAATATAAGATTATCAGAACCAGATATGATCAGAATTAAATCTAGAGGGTCATTGCATTAGTTTGTACGTTTTTAAAAGAGTGAAAGATGTCCGTACCGTCTGTAAGTACTGGGGCGTCTTTGGGTAGATTCTGAAAAGCTGGCAGATTTGGGCAACATCGTCCACAGCGTTGGGCCGGTTCAGGAGACTGCTGACCTCCGCTGGAGACACCGACTCCATCAGCTGTGAGGAGACACACGTCCAACAACAGCAGAACTTACAATATGAAGAGTTAAAGGCTTGCTTCGTCATTTGCTGCACATTTGAAATGTTATTCTCTAAAGCAATGGTTCTCAATCTTTTTGACTCCCATTCAGAGGCTTCCCTTTAATTCTAATCTATGGACTGTTAAGTCATCTTATTGAGAACCACTGATTTACAGAAATGACCATAACCTTCAGCTATTGCCTCATTCATGGACTCTATACTGGATCTAATCAGTAATCGGCAGATGAAGGCGGTCTGGCGTCTCTGACCTCTGGCACGTGAGCCGGCGGCATCAGCGACAGGAAGGTGGTCAGATTGGGGAACTGGAAGCTCATGAAGGAGGACGTCAGGAAAGCGTAGTAGCTCTGGTTAGCATAGCAGTGCAGTGGGGCGGGGCCTGTGGAGACAGAAGGATGCTGGGTGAGTGGATGGAGGGATGAATACATGTATAGATGGATGGATGGATGGACACCTGTGAGAGAGCCGAGGATCAGCTGGTAGATCTGATCTTGTGTCGCCGGCTGGAAGGTGGAGCTGGACGAGTTCAACAGCTGCACCCTGGAAGAGAAAACATCAGTGAGCACACAGACGGGTTGTGTGTGTGTGTGTGTGTGTGTGTGTGTGTGTGTGTGTGTGTGTGTGTGTGTGAGAGAGAGAGTGTCTTACGCCTGCTGGCTGATGGGACAGGGTCGCTGCAGGATGACGCTGAAGTAGGACGTCACGTGTTGGACAGTGATGTTGGCTATGAAGGACGGCAGTATGTTCAGGATCCAGATCTGCAGATCAGCGTCTGATGACGTGGTCAGATTGGCCCTGTTAAACACCTGCTGCAGAAACGCCTCCTGCACGGGGGATGGGAGAACAACGCCCTGCGTCTGACAGACACAGACCACAGCCAATCAGAACACAGAGACACCTCAAACAGCCAATCAGATCACAGATAATCCACAAACGGCCAATTAGAACCCAGATACTTCACAAACGAATAATCAGAATACAACACTTCACAAACAGCCAATCAGATGAGATACACCCCAAATGAACACTCAGATCTAGGGCCGAAACTAATGATTATTTTGATAATCAGTTAGTTAACTGGACAATTGATTCTTTGAATAATCGATTGATTGGATAAAATCCATATTACTTCATTTCATTTATTGGGGAAAAAACATGTCATTCCACATTCATGCAGCACAAATGACAGAACTATGTCTTCAAATGAATGATTATTTTTTAAACAGTTAATTGGACTATTGTTTCTGCAAATAATCAATTAATTGGATAAAAGGCCAATTATTTTTTTAATTTACTGGAAAAACAAACAAACATGTTATTCCACATTTATGCACTACAAATTGCCAATCAGAGCTTGGGCTGCAACTAATAATTATTTTGATAATCGATTAATCGACCAGTTGCATCTGTGAATAATCTACTAATTGGATAAAAAGACAGATTTTATTTTCTTTATTTTATTGAAAACACAAAAAAACATGTTAATCCACATTCATGCAGCACAAATGGCTGTTCAGAACTAGATCTGCAACGTTTCTTTTTGATAATCGATTGTTTGGCCAATCCGAACCCAGATACACCACATGCAGCCAATCAGAGAGCAGAGCATCTGAGCTGTGACTGGCTGAGAATATCCATGTTCCATGATGAACAGTATTGGTCAGGGGAATGTGTGTGTGTGTGTGTGTGTGTGTCACCTGTAGCGTAGCGGAGAGGGATAAGAAGAACACAGTGATCTGAGCGTCCGGCACATAGAGCAGCAGATTATTAACTGCAGCAGCGCTGGACAGGAATCCAGGAGTGCTGGAAACCTCCACTAACTGCCTCAGGTTCAACAGACTCAGAGTGTCCAACTGCACACACACAGAGGAGCACGTCAACATACGCATCTGTACAAGCCGTGTGTGTGTGTGTGTGTGTGTGTGTGTGTGTGAATCTTCTGTCCTGGGTGTGTGTGTGTTGTGTGTGTGTTGTGTGTTGTGTGTGTGTGTTCGTACCACATTGAAGCTGGGGTTGAGCATCTGCAGGACGGTGACTGTGGTGAAAACAGAGAAACGTCCAAAGCTGCTGATCAGCCAATCAGAGCTGCTCTGAGAGACGTTCACACACCCTAAACACAGAGCAACACGTCACAGCTGAGCATTCGCTACAGATCCCTGTGTGTGTGTGTGTGTCCAACCTGCAGTGCTGTTCTGCGAGAGGAAGACTTTGATGAAGTCAACGTAGACATTAGCTTGTGTATCGGTGGACATGACGTCAAAACTCTGACTGAAGCTCCCGACACTGTGAAAGAGACCAAATAGGACAGACAGGACAGGAACGTCTCGGAGGCGTAGGGTAAAAATGGACGGAGCCTGAAGTTAAACCAGCGCTGGATGAACGAATCATCTCTCAGATTGGTGGAGCTGAAGGAGCTCAGAGTGACTTCTCCAATCACATTCAAGAATGACACAATGGGGCGGGACTTATTCAGCCTCTGACACACACACACAGTTCAATGTTACTTTCTCGTTTCCTTTGCATTCACAAAAATGCTGTCTTAGTGTTGAACCAAATGCATGAAAAAAGATGCATTTCAAATGTATCTGGATTGATGTAGATGTAGCCTGAATTGCATATAATCGGACAGAGGCGACAGTGCTGTCGTGTACCGTGTGGGCGAGCAGGTCGAGCGCTGGTCCCAGCACCGGGTTGACCTTTTGCGTGAAGAGTTTCCACGCCTCCTCGGACACGCTCTCATTCCCGTTGAGACCGCATGACAACACCGTCGCCAGGTGCTGCGAGCTCAGATCTGTCAACTGAACACACACGCACTAAACAAATGTTTACAGAAACAGAGTGTGTGTGTTCACACGGTGAGCGTGATTTGACCAAGTACAACATGTTCCTGGATCAACATCCTTGTGAACATCATTCCAATCAACCAATCAGAATTGAGAGAGAACTTTTCAGGAAATGTCCGTTTTAGGCTTGTTAATCAGCAATCATTTCCCTCTGATTTTAGGAATAAATTATGGGTTAGGTTAGGTTTAGGGGTGGGGATTGGGTTAAGTCTGTATTTTGGACAGTAATGTTGATTCAGGAACATGTCTTACTTGTCCACACGTACACGGCGACCGTGTTCACACGTCTGTGTACGGTGTGTTTCACGTACCTCTGCACAAGCGTACTGTGTGATGCTGAATTCACAGAGCCGACTGCCATCATGAGACGAGCCGAGATAAGCCGACAGACCAGAGCTGGAACACACACACACACACACACACACACACACGCGTACTTATGAGTATGACAGGTACACTTCAAATGGCCAATCAGAACACAGATATTCCGCAGATGGCCAATCAGAACTAGGGCTGACTAATGATTATTTTAATAATCGATTAATCGGCCAATTGTTTCTTCAAATAATCAATTGAAAGCTTGGCTCTTTTGAGTTATAAAATCATCTGAAGATTATTGAAGTTTTTTCACCTGTTGCTGCTCCTGCAAACTGTCGTTTCTGAGAGAGAGAGAGAGAGAGAGACATCCGTCAGCTCACACAGCACACGATTACAGACAGAAATAACCAAACTAAACAAACAGGCCACTCAGAGACGATCACTAACCGTTCACTGGTGTGATGCCACACTGGAAGAGACAGAAGAGACACTCGTGAGCATCACATGAGCTTAAATCATCAGCATACTTTTAAAAAGAATACTTATTATGCAAATAATGTAATTCAAATAACATACTAAAGTGCAAAGTCAATGCAATGTTTTCAGAAACTTAAGTACTTGTGTAACAATGTACCTGCAGGATATTTCCAATTAAATGAAAATGCATTACAGTTTAAATTTCTATTAAATGCACTAGTTGAACTTAAGTGTGCTTTTTGACCCACTTAAATGCATCTTTATATGTAGTTTCATTATTACTTTCACTGTCTTTGAAATATTGTTAAAGCACTGCTGAATTTATGATCAACTAAAATACAATTCAATGTCATTTCCATTCAAACTTGTGTTCATGTATTTAAATATATTTGTAATGATGAAGCTGCAATTAGTTAAATTAAATAACACACAAATTACAATCCAGTACTTTACAAGTGCTTTAGCATGTTAGTCAGCACATCAAAATAAGTGTACTTCTTTAAAACACGACAAAAGTTTATTAAAACATAGTGACTTGAAATGCCCTTTTAAATGTACTGTAAGTTTTAGTTTACAAATTAAAAGTTTAAAAGTGTACTTAAGTGTGTCGAGAAACATAGTCATGAAAGTGTCTCTCTTTAAGTACAGTCTTTTTAAATAGACTTTTAAGATTTGAAGTACACTACAAGCGCACATTCAATACAATAAAGCACCTGTCTTTTTCACTAGGGCACCTTCAACACTCACCTGTCCGCTGGAGCTCACACAACCTGAGACAGAGAGAGAGAGAGAGAGAGAGAGAGAGAGAGAGAGAGAGAGAGAGAGAGTCTCGTGAGTGTGTGTGTGTGTGTG